CCATTCAAGGATCAGGGATGTTCAGTCCAAGTTCAACGACAACATGTCGATAAACACGTACAAGACAACATGGCACAACACATGATGTTACTGGCCAAACAATGTTCATTGCTCACTATAGTAAACCAAGTTCTAAATAATGAGCTAAAGAAAACGAAGGTATAAAGTAGAGTAAATGGAATCGTTTGTTAAGGTCATCCAAYAATGCGGCCATCATGCCACATCTATCAACTCCGGCCCTATTCATCCATTAATTTCTTGCTTTATTCGAAAATTTTGTCTCCGGGTTCTCTGGTTTTCCTACCTTTCCAAAGCTTATTTGATTAATACGCTAAATCTGAGCCAAGAGGTTCTTTCAGGATTCTATCTGTGTGTTAGCCGTGCCCTGACGTAGATCAACCTAGAGCTTGTTTCGCGGCTCAAACTGAAGTGTGCGCTAACCGTGCTCTGACTTAAATATACCAAAATTCAAATCTCTGAGTTAGCCGTGCTCTGACTTATCTAGTCTTAGATCAAATAAGAGATTGTTTAAGCTAGGATTCATTATATCGATGTCTTTTTGATTTGCTTTGGTTTTCTTCAGAGAAAAATAAATGATCTTGAAATCRAAGTAATAAGCAGAAGTCGCTATGTGTGGACAATACTGGACTTTCCCACTCAAGCCAAAAAATACACTCAAGGCACTTGGATGAGGAGTCCAACCTTCTGGTTGTGTGGCAGCTGCTGGTTTCTGAAGTTGTACCCTAATGGCCGTGACAAAAMGTCCAAAGAATATGTCTCATTATGCCTTGTTTTGAGTGACGAGGATATACTTGTACGAACTGGAAAACCTTTTATTGTAGCAACAAACGAAGTGACTGTGGCATATGCAAGGTAAAGTCAATTGTCGCGTTTCAGTTAAACTGGACATTTACTGGTCAAGCTAAACAACACTGAGTTGCGAGTGAAAATAACTCCCATTACTTTAACTGTACGAAGCCGATATACAAACACACGGCTGAGTTATAGAACTATTGAAAAGCATTGTCATATTTTTTTACAGAATAACTGTAAAAAGCCAGTCTCAAGCAACATCCATAACACATGACGTAACATTAAACCCAAAGTTTGAATCTACTGGCGTAGTCAGAGAAGTTGCTGTGATCAGCGAACTGATGAAAGCAAATGAAGCACGTTCTCCAGATTTTTGCAGCGTAAAAGATGGTTGTTTTACTGTTACATGCATTCTCTTTTAAAGGTCAACTGGTTCAGAGACGTGCAGTAAAATAATCTAAAATCACTGAAGCAAAACCCTTCCTTTCGATTCCACCCATTATTACTATCATTTTTTTTTTACTAAACTGAAAAACGACATCTTAAAAGTATAAATTTGTTAGAAATTTCTAATCCAATCAAATCAAATGCAATGCGATGCAATCCAATCCAATCCAATCCAATCCAATCC